GGCTGGGCCCTCCTCTAGGCTTTCCGAGCCTCCCTTCCAGGCAGAGTCTGCCCGTCTACCTGTGCTGTCAGAATGGTGGTGGGAGTCAGGGTTGATGCTGTGGAAAGTTCCAGGCTTTGGTGCTGCCCAGCCCTGAGGGTGAATGAATCCCAGCTTCCCGCTGTAGGCAGAAGAGCTAATGCGCTGGCACAGAGGTGCCTCTGCCGGCCCTGCCCGTGTCCCTGAGATCCTGACCTTGGGCTCATGTGTTGGACACGCCTGGTTAGAGCTGGTGCCCAGCAAGGTCACTGGAGGGTAAAACAGCAAATCCAGCGAAGGGTGGAGGACCCTGAGTGACCACAGTGTGGCGGCCGCCACATCTTCCCCAGCAGCCGCCAATCCCTGGTCCCTGTGGACCCTTTTCCTTCCTTTATCAGTCCTTAGTGAGTCTGTTATCAAGTTCTGTGTTGTTTTTCTTTAAAAATGACTCCTTCCTCCTGGTTGTAAGCTGTGCTTCACTTCAGGGGATTTCAGAGTGTAAAGGTCTGTCATCTACTTTCTTTAAACACTTGTATTATTTGAATTTGTCACCACAATCGTGCATTTCTTTTGCAGTTTTTTTAAATGTGAGAAATGGTGCTTCTCCAGAGCCCTTGCGCTGGCTCCTGCCTGTTCTGGGCTGTGCCCTGCCCCTCCTGTCCATCCCCTGCCCCCTCCTGTCCATCCCCTGCCCCCTCCTGTCCATCCCCTGCCCCCTCCTGTCCATCCTCACCTCCCGTGCCCTCTGCTCCGGAGCCCTCTGTCATTGTCCTTTGGCTCAAGAGCCCAGAGTGGCTCATCTGCACCAAAGGCAGTGGGGGTTGCAGGTCACAGACTGGAATGCAGCTCTGATGCCCAATGGCTGCACCTGGGCCACAGCACGCAGGGGACTGTTGGGGCCAGTATGGCCTGGGACTTTCCAGGGTACCCTTAACTTGGATGGAAGATCCTGTCATGAGCTTGTGGTATCTGAAAGACGAATAGTTGTGATTTCTGTGGAAGAAGGACCTGCAGGAACACACAGAACCAGCTGTGGGGGCTCCCGTCGTTGTTCCCAGGTATATTGGGAATCGGCACCATTTGCATTATTATTTGAAGACCGGTTGTTGGAGGGCTCAACACAGGGTGCGGTTCGCAGCACTCAACAGTAGATGAGAGGAATTTGTCTGGAAATGGGGATAACGGTGGGACGAGAGTAATGACCAGAACCAGGCCATCAGCCTCTTTCAGGTCTCCCCCCGGGCAGCTGGTCTCCCCAGGCCCTCCCCAGCATGAGTGGAGCAGGCACCCGCCCTGCGTGATGTATGGGGACCGTCCTTGGAAAAGAAGCACATTGTACAGGATAAGCCACCAGGCCATCCTGAGACCTTTTTATTTCTCAGTGCAGGGTTTTTATTGATTTGTTTATTCCTGGGCAAGACCCTGAGCTGCAGCGTGGACAATGAAGCTTGGTCCTTGAGGGTGATGGGAAGCGACAGATCAGGGGCCAGAGGCTGGAGAGGGGCGGCCACGGGCAGGAGGCGCCTGGATGCTTGGGGCGTCTGGGGAAGAGCTCACCTGGCTCATCTGGACAGTCACAGTCCTGGAGAGGAGGCAAGAGCGAGAGGAGAGGGGACCATTCAGCAGGAGAGGGCACAGAGAAGAGGTGACAAGGAGGAGGCCCATGTATGTCAACTCAGGGATCAGTGTCAGCAGCACAGCGGCACAGCCTCCAGAGGTGTTGACAGGACTGAGCGTGCGGATTACACAGCAGGACGGGCTAGACGGAGTGCCCCCCTGGCGAGGGGCCGCAGTCCAGGCAGCCCTTCTGGAACCCTCCTTCACGGGCGCTGGGCTCAGGGGGTGCCTGGTCGTCTTGCAGAAGGGAATGGGGTATGCATCCAGCTTGGAAGCTGTAGTGTGCTGCGAGGATGCTCCTCAGAGCCTGCCCCGTCCCCTGCCTGGCAGAGGTGTGTTCCTAAAGCAGGAGGGACTAAGAGTCAACCCAGAGATCCTCCTTTTCTGCAGAAGCTTAAGAACGCAAAGCTGGTAGAGGAGGACAGGTCAGTCCTGGCCACCCAGAGGGAGGTCTTCAGATTCCCCCTGCTCAGCCCAGGCAGTGCTGTGCCCCAGAGAGCCTGCAGATCTCCACGTAGGCCCCCGGCTGACCCTGGCCCTGCTGGCACTTGACAGGTGTGGGCCCACAGCTGGACCAGAAGTGGACTTTTGCACCAAGGGAAGGGAGGAAGGGGAGAAAAGGTGCTAACCGGATGCGGCCACCAGCACTGGGGAGCAGTAAGAGTCCTCAGGAGGCCCTCTGTCCTCGTGACCAGCCTTTAAGGAGAGGAAGCAGTTCACCTAGGAGAGGACAGCCGCTGCCAGAGGGAGAGGGCGGACCCGGAAATGTGCAGGCTCAGGGAGGCTTCGTGGCCGAGCCTGGAATGTGAAATTCAGAACAGTGGTCACTAAATGAGTTGAAGCCAGAGTGTGCAAAAGCCAGTTGATTTGGGAAGGAAAGCACAGTATTTACATCCTCACATAGTTCCACAGCAGACAGCATGCGTGTCTCCCTCTGTGGACATGGTTCTCCAGCAGAAGGGCGCACGTGCTCCGGCTCCCGCTGGGCAGGACTGGCGCTCCCCTGGGAGAGCACCGCCAGCCCTGCCCACCAGGCTCCTCCTGAGCCCCTTGTCTGCACCTCCTCAGGAGCATGGGGGTGTCCAGCCGGCCCTATCCTGCCCCTGTGTGGGCTCTTACCACAAGCACAGTCACCAACCACCAGCAAATCCAGAGCCCCGGGAAGCAGGCCCTGGGAAGGGAATGGAGATGAAGCTGCTGGGTGGGCTGGGGAGGCCCAGCAGTGTGGCCCGCCGCACGGCTCCGTGGGACCTGTTGCTCGTGGCTGTCCACGTAGGCGCCCACCTGCCAGGCCTCCATGCACATCTCCACAGCCAGCTGCCCACCTGCCCTGGCCTTGGCATTTGCACCCAGAATCAGTGACAGTTTGCAAGTCACATCTCCCCCACCGCGTCAGGCCCTCTTCACTGTCCCCGACCCCTGTCTCGTCACTTGACACCAGAGATCTGAGGTCTCCTCCCCGAGGCCTCTGTCCCTCTCCAGACCCTCCCCTCGTGTGGACTCTTCTCAGCCCGAGTCCTCTACTTCCCTCCAGGTCCTGCCTGGACGTTTAAGAAGAACTACACCCGCGGCCGAGCTGCTCCCGAGTGCTGTGGGGCTATGGCCTCAGACACAGTGTCTGCACGGCCCCCAGGAGAGCTTGGAAGAAAGTATGACATGCTGAGCGTTAGATTGAGATGTAGATTAAGTATGAGAAAAATAAACATAAGATGGAAGATGTGGATTGACTAAATATCAGGAACTATTTGAAGACATGATTTGATAAAATAGATTTAAAGTAAGTTGAATAAAGCACACAAAAATCTGATAGTAATTATGGAAAAGTTTTATCCGTGGATTTTAGCCAGTGAATCCTGAGAATATTTTCATAATTCTGGAAAAATTCCAGCTGCATTAAAATAATTCACTCATGTGGACCCTTCAGAGGCTCTGAATTCAGAGCTCTAAGCCAGGCCACCTATGGGGTTCCAGGACACCTCAGAGCCCAGTGACATGACAGGCTGTACCTCATCCCATGCCTGAGCTGGCAAGAGGGAGCCTGGGTGCCTGGGTGGCGCTCCTGGGTGAGTGGGCACGCAGGGCTGCCTTCGCAGGGTAGCAGAGACGCCCAGACTGTGAATTCAGGTGCGCCCTCAGCAGGTTCAGAAAACACACCTTTGAAATTGATTCCCTTAAGACTGCAGCCTGCACCCTGGGTGGTCGATCTGACCACCACAACTGAAGAGGGTGGGATTCCTGCCCCTCAGAGCTCGATGGGCACTGGGAAGTGGAGCCCCAGAAAGATCCGGCTGATGGACAGCAGAGAGGATTTTCCGTTTGAGGCTGGGCTGGGGGCAGCCTTCCTGGCTAGGCCTCTGATGGGGCTCCTCGACTCCCCCCAGCCCACCCTTCAGCGGTCACTGCCTGTTCAGTGCCAGGCATGTCGGGGTCTCTCTGGAGCCAGGGGCCCGGGCTCCCCACTTGCCCAGCATGTTCAGCGTGTGCCGTGTGCACAGGGGCCAGCAGCACTGACTCGGGGCTCCATGGTGCTTCCAGTCAGACCCACTGCAGGTGGGCAGCCTTTTGCTGGCTTCTGGAGGGGGGTCACCTACCCTCAACCAGGTGGCCTGCTCCTCGGGTGAGGCATTTGTTCCAGGCCAGGCCAGGCAGGGTTGGAGTCCATCCCTAGCACAGCTGCCCGCAGGCTTCGCTCAGCCCTTGTAGGCCTTGCCAGGGTTCCCAGGTCCTCTCCAGGGGTGATCCCTGCTGGCTCTCTTGTTACCACAGCCTATGGGGGGAGATTTCCCATCCATGCTGCTCACCCTGCAAAAAGTGTGCCCTCAGTGTGTTCAAAGTCGTGTGATCACCACCACAATCCACACCTGCTGACTGGACCCGGCCACCACCTCAATGGTAAATTAATTAAAAGGGAGAAAAAGCCAGGCGCAGTGGCACACGCCTGTAATCCCAGCCTTGGAGGCTGAGGCAGGAGGATCTCGAGTTCAAACCCAGCCTCAGCAATTTAGCGAGGCCCTAAGCAACTCAGTGAGGCCCTGTCTAAATGAGACAAAAAGAAGCGGTGCAGTCTGGGGATGTGTGTGGCTCAGTGGCAAGTTGCCCTGGGTTAACTCCCTAGCACCCCCCCCCAAATTAAAAATAAACAAAAGGAGAAAGAGCCCATGAGACAAAAACCACCCAAACGTGGTCATCCTGTGAGCACATTCTGCAGGAACCTGGGTCACAGTGTCCATGACTTTGGTACCTGACTGGTCAGGTGCGTCCAGGGTCTCCTAGTTGCTGCTTGGTGTCTGTGCAGGACTGCCCCTGGCAGCCCGGGGTCTCCGGCCAACCCCTCACTCACCAACTCCTTTCCTCTCCTCACCCAGGTGTTCCACTGTGTCCACTTTGAGTGTCCTGAGCAGCAGAGCATCCAGAAGGAGGAAGGCAGCGAAGAATCAGGGACAACGGATGACAGCCTGGCCAGTCAACAGCTTGACCCTCACGCCCTGCGAGCCCCCAGTGGCGGCTCGCTGCCCCCCAGCCCAGGCTCCAGCTCGCGCTCACCCAACCGGCAGCACCAATAAAGGAGGCAGCAGACATGGTGTGACTGGGTGGGCCTGGGCGGCAAAGGAGGTGTCCCCCGGGCATGGTGTTTGTGGACTGCCCTCCCCACATCCAGGGAGGAGCAGGCTTGGCTGCAAACTCGGACACAGAACAGGCTTCCTCCCAAGGACAGCAGGGCCCGCTTTGTTCTCCTCAATTTGTCCAAATCAGGCTAGTCTCCAGGGGGAGAAATGGGTCTTCAATCTTCATCAAGTCCACCATTAAAACCCTACCTCTCTAATCTAACCCAGGCAGAGGGACAGAAGGAAGTGACACTCAGGCCCCAGCCCACTGCAGAAACGGCAGCGGACCGGAACAGAAGAGAAGGCACTAGGCCCTGCTGGCCCAGAGCGCCCTGTAGGATTGGGTCCCCTGGGACACCGGCCCTGGAGGCTGGTGTGCCCTCTAGCTCCTCTCCTCCGCTGACTCCTAGCTTTCCTCATCTCTGTGAGGCGCTCCAACAGCAGATGGCTTTTCTGATCCCTCTACAGTCATTTCCCTCCCTTGGTTTTGAACGGTTTCGGGGCAGGGCAGAGACTGTTGTCCGTCTGTCTCCTGAATGAGATGCAGAGGCATCTCGTGGTGACACCTGGTCTCACAAGGTAAAGCCTCCGTTCAACAAAATACACAGTGAGCACATCAGTCTGTGGACATTCGAGTCAATAATCGTTCAGGTTGCTCAGTTATTAACCTGTCATTCCTGAAATGTATCCTGCCTTTAAGCTTCGGCGGCTGACGAGGAAATAGTTACTATGCCAGCTGCTAATTTAACACTCAGAAGTCTGTGGACAAACATGCCAATTTCTGGTGGGCTTGGCTCGGGTGGCCGAGCATCGGGAGCACAGACCTGCGTCTCTGCAGCCTCGTTGTGCTGCTGTGTTTTCCCCACACTACAGCACATTGGGCATTGGAAAAGGTATTTCTCAGAAACTTCTCTCCTAATCATCCCGGGAGGATCTCATACGACTACGACAGCTCCATCTGGCTTTCTGTCACCAGTGGTTTCCTTTCCAGTGCTGGTGACCCCTGCTGATGTACACAGATGATCATCTGCAGTTCCGCTTCTCTCCAGATGCTCTGTGTCCGGGCTGTCAGCTCTGGCCTGAGAGCCTCCCTGGCAGTGTGGCGAGCCACTGAGCTGCCCGGTGGTCCCCAGGTGCCCAGCACACCCTGGGAGCCTGCTTAGAGGAGTGGGGCAGGCCTGAGGGCTTCCTTTCCAGTGTCTGAAAGACATTTGGGGTGTAGAAAGGCTGAAAGGGTCAGCACCTGTTCCTCCCGTTCAGCTTGGTTCTGAGTCCACACTGAATGGTGAGGTAGTGTCCAAGTGCAGGGCTGGGATGAGGTCATCTTTCTGTGGGAACACAGGCCAGCAGGAAACAGAGGGTCATCTAGGTGGGAGAGGTGGTCCTGGGGGAGAGGCGCCAGTCAGCAGATCTCTGCCTGCTTCTCCGCTGTGGGCCGAGTGGGACCCCCTCCAGGTGCCCAGCATGTCCATGTGACAGGCTCCTTGGAGGGGTGCCCGCCATGGTGGGGCGCTGCCACCTCTGTCAGCATCCAGCCTGCAGTGGCCAGTTGGCACCCAAGCCCCCGCCCGCCCAGCAGTCCTTCCACGCTGTTTGTCTCCTGCCCCCTGGGACAGAGGGGCCAGGTCAGTCCGAGGGGCGCAGAGGCACATGTCCCAGGTAGAAGGGGCCCCAGGTGACTGGGCTAGTGACAGCTGAGAACCTACCACTGCCAAGTGTCTCCCCTGCAGGTGCCAGCAGCTCCCGCCACATCCTAGAGGCCACACCTGTGGTTTCCCGGGCCATGGCTGGCCTCTGTCCCCTCTGCTGGGACTTCCTCGCCTGCCAGAGCTCTTCCCGCCTCCCCCAGCACCTTAGGTGCCTCCTTTACCAGGGCTGAGGGGAGGACGGGGTGGCACTGGCAACAGGTGGCCAGAGTGCTCTGCGGGCGACTCTCCTACCCTGGCCCCATCTGTGGCCCTGGAAAGCCTCCTCGGGTGCCAGGAGGACACTGGCCTCAGCAGGCTGGAGGAGCCCTCCGTCCCTCGAAGGTCTTCTGATTGGAGCAGGAGGTTCTCCTCATGTCCATCTGGCCCGGGGGCCACAGTCGAGGTGTGTCACACCACACAGGCCTGCGGCGTCTCCGGTCCAGGGACGAGGGAGCAGCCAGGAAGGAGTCTGGCCTGGACATCTCCAGGGCTTGGCGGGCCCCAGGGAGAGCTTGTCTCTGCCACCACCTGGGTCAAAACGGCCAAACCTTGGAGCCAAGTGTGCTGCTGGGCTGAGGCAGGGACGTCTGCCCAGCAGGGCCCTGGGCCGCCTCCAGGAGCCTGTGCCAGCGGGGATCTCAGCCAAGCACGGGGGGCAGCACAGCAGATGAGGTTCCGAGGCCCCCCACACCTGGGAGCCTCAAGGCAACCGAGCAACGTTAGTGCAGCCAGGTGGGATCTGGTTAGAGGAGTGGCCACGACCTCTGCCCTGTACCATGATGCTTCTTGGGATCACGCAAGGACACCTCTGCCCCTCTCAAGAGATGAGTCACTGCCAAAACCCCCCTGCCCTCCTCCTCCTCCTCCTCTTTTTATGTTTTGGGGGAAAGTAGAAAGAAACCTTCAGGTCACCTCCCGGCAGCTGCTAGGGGGTCGGCTGGGCAGGCAGAGCCCCCCCACGAGGATTGTGCAGCTCAAACCCCTCACGCACCCGCAATTCCCTGCGCCCTGGGTCCTGTTTCTCTCCTGATTCTAGTTAGAACCCTGAGCCCGTGATGGGTGCGGGGCGCTTCTCAATGCTCTTTAAATTGTCGCTTTTTAAATCTTATTAAATGAAGTGTCGATTCCTGACAAATACATTAAAAGTGTCTCATTCCTAGAAGAGTTGGGAAGAGAGATTTTCAGCAAGAGTGGGATGTGTTTGTTAGACTGATTCCTTGGCCAAAAAAAAAAAATGAGTTTTGAATTGTGTGAAAATTGCTCAGTAGTTAGCCATCGCCCCAGATGCCCGCTGCTGTGCCCGCCAGCCTCACCTCACCTTCTTTCTAATTTAGAAGATAACAAAATTGTGGCCACTGAGATTTTCTGGAGTCAGCGGGAATAAAGGAGAGTGTGATCCACAGGAAGAAGCAGAGGCCACTTGGTGATACAGATGGAGAGTCCCCGTCACAGACCGCCCTTGAGCACCCCCTTGGGACAGGGAGGAGGGCGCCAAAGAGGGAAAGAGCATCCAGGGCAGCTCTTCGGGGCCTCTCCTCGCTGGCTGCACTCTTGCCTTTGGTGTCACCAGTGCTCCTGGCGCTCGAGGTCCTGGGCACAGCAGCTGCAGGGTGGACTTGCCCTCCACCGGGCGGGGTGGCAGGCACAGGCCGGGCTCAGGTTCCATTTGTTTGGCGGCTGCGGCCATCGACTCTGGTGTCCATCCTGATGACAGCTCCAGCAGGACTCGGCGCTCATTAGTGGCCCTGGGACTTTAAGCTGCCGTCTGCGGCTCTGCGCCACCACGGGTGTCGTCATTATGATATTAAATTACAAGTCTTCCTGGTGCCCGCTGTGGCTCAGGAGTCGCTGGTGGAGGGGTCTCGGCGGCCTGCAGGGCCACTGGTCATCCCACCTCCCTGGAGTGGGCCCCATCATGCCCGGCGCTGGGTGGATTCAGAGGCCCCCGTTGTATGAGAGCGTGGGAAGTTTGGGGGGCCACAGTGTTCCCCAGAAAGTGAGGCTGAGGGGGGAGGGGAGGGAGGGTGGGTCTTCGTGGTGGGTCCCTGGTGTCCCTTGGATTCCTCCTCCGTGGCTCCGGCTGCCCGTCCAACCCCACGCCGAGGCCTACACTCCCGCTTCCTGGGCTCAGGGCAGCTGGACCCCGCATGCTCCCTGGCCAGGCCTCTCTCCAGGGCTAAAGCAGGGGCCGGGGCAGGCCCACAGAAAGCCCGAGGAGGGCCCTCCCCATCTTCATCACTCAGGTCCTAAAATTATACAGACCTGCCCGGGGAATAGGGTCAGCCTGGGAAGGGGCGAGGGCACCCGTCCCCCAGCTGTCACTCCTGCCCTGGGCCTGGGTCGTCTGCTCCCCCACTACCAGGCCCCACCTGCTCAGCGCAGTCACTTCAGGCCAGCTGTTCCCCGCTAGCAGCAGGCCGGGCGGCCATTGCCAGCTCTGGTTAGTTTGTCCCTTTTTTTTTTGGAGACCTAAAATATTCCCTGAGGCCTGAAGACTCACAATCATCCACCTGTAATTTATGATAAATGTCGCAGAGCACTTACTATTTGCATGCGTATTTATAGCCCTGAGCAGGGAAGGCGGCTGAGAGCCCAACACCTGTCTCCACTGTTGTCCCTCAGCCTTCTCCCCAGGGCCACTGCTTGGCATCCCTGTCCCACCAGGAGGTGCCAAAGGAGGGTCCTGCACTCGCTGCAGACAGCATGGTGAGAGGCAGAGGGGCTGAGAGGCCCTCAGGTTGGGCTCTGTGCCCTGGGACACTGGGGACATTGTCCGTCCGTGAGCTCCAGAGGTCTATGGCCTTGCTCCATGAGAGAACCCTCCAGATCAGCTGCACCACCTGGTCCTCCTGGGCTGGGCTCTGCTGCTGCCCTGCGCTGCCCCTGGCCCCACATGCCCGGTGTGCGCCCAGGCCCCTCTCCTTCCACCGCAGTTCTACATGGGCAGCACATGACATGGGGCTCCAAGACCTCGAGGCCACAGGGTCTGCCTAGGCCCCTCCATCAGCTGCTTCAGGTGAGGGCCACAGGGGCCACAGGGCCAGGCTGGCCAGAGCTCGGACTGCTCGGGACTTGGGGCTAGACAGCTTTCTAGTGCCCTGGGGCCTGGCCTCTTCCCAAAGTGGCTCTTCCCACCCTGACAGATGGCCAGGGATCTCCCCATCACAGACTCTCCCAGTTCTGAGGCCACCCACTCCCACCCCCAGAGCCTGGAAAAGCAAGAGGAAAGTGACCGTGGCTGTGCCTTGGAACAAATGACAGGAGAGGTGATGACCATCCGGGTAACCATGGACTGGGCCCTCGTGCTATTTTTGCCAAACCTGTTACAACCCGAATGCACCAGAGACCGTGAGCCACCTCCTGCTGGGCCAGGAGGGTTGTGGGTGCCAGCCCCATGCCGCTCCCAGGCCTCTTGGAGGCAGGACAGGGACCTTGCTAGGCCTGGGTCTTCTCTACTTGGTTCAGAAGTCTGAAGCAGCCCAAAGGGCACTGTCGCCGTTCACAGTGTGTCCTGTTGTGAGCACGATGCGGCTTCCTCCCTCTGCACACCCTCTGAAGTGGGCACACACACAAACCGTACGTGTATGTTGACTCCAATCCCCAAAATCCCTGCTTGTGAAATGCTGCTGTGGGTTTTGCTGTAGAAATAAAGTGTGACTTCTTGTGCATGTGTCCGTGTCGTCACTCTCCCAGCCACTCCTCAGCCCATCCCCTGCCTGTGGGGCTGATGGTGCAGGCCTGTCCTCGGGGCTCTCCAGCTGCCCTCGCTCTGCCTCTAGCGGGGAGGCAGACAGCGTCCCCTTGGCTTCCCCCTGGGCCCCTGCTGCTGTCTGGGCAGAACCCATTTTGTGTTCAGCAGCCCAGAGGCCGGATCTGGACCCTGCGTGACCGCCGCCAGCGCCAGCGCCTTCATCACAGGGCCAGGCCCTCCCTTCCTTCCCTGGGCACCTTCTTCACCTGCCCTCTGGCCC